TGGTTCATTTGTATCTTATTTAAGGTGTCTTAATTCATAGAAATTTCTTGACGTATAATGTTTTAAGACATCAAGTTTTTGAACATTTTTGATTGACGAATTCAAAAAAAAAACTCTAGACCGATAAAAGGGTCACAGATAAAGGAACAAGACAATAGGATTAATTTTGCACCTTTGTTCGGGAATTCGTTTGTGAAGTATCGTATCTGAGACCATGGCTATGGGAGATTCGGGCTACGAACTAGAGACCGCGAAGGCTATTTAGCAGACAGAGCCGAGCCGAGCCGAGCAGCAGTAACGGCGGCAGGGACGACGAAGGCGGTGGCCGAGCGGCCACAGACCGCCCACCACAAAGCACAAGCGACAAAAAAGTGCGACATGGTGACATCTTCACAACAACATCCACGAACGGTGTCACTGCAGGATGAGCGTGCCTTTCGCGTAATTAATGTACACGAGTTCCAGCTGATTAACGGCCTTGACGACAAGCAAAAAACTTCCATCTCCTGTTCATTCAATGTACTTTAAAGCCTATCCACACCTTCAGCGACATCGCCCTCCTTGTTTGTCTCATCTGACCGCGCTATTTCTCACTGCTATCTCACTTCAGCGCTCTGTTTTTTGCATTCATGCCTTTTCAGAATAATCGAATTCTTCTTCTGGCCATGCCAATGAGCACTGATGCTGCGGCGCTTTGTCCTTGCAAGAAATAGCCCTTATACGAGATCCCACTCACAATTTTGTCGCTACAATCACAGGGGATCTTTAATTGTGGTTTAGCGATATGGTCACTGATTATACAATTATGACAATGTATTCTGCTATCATCTAAATTCTTTAGATCGTCTTTTCCTATGGCGTCCTTTAGTCTACAAAGTACACATTCCACAAGTGAAACGTTGCTACGAGAATTTTCTGAATGACTCATCACTTCATAATGAGCGCTTGTCCAGAAAAAAATGCGTTCGACAAAAAAAGAGACTTTTCAAGCCAAAAATTCTTCTTCTCACCGCCAGAATCCACGTGTTCGCAACATACGCGAGAAGGACAAAGCATTAACGAGATCGAAAAGAGCTCACGAACCAAGTGTTTATGTGTAAAT